GCTTACTGTAGAAAGAAGTTGCTGTGCACTGAGAAGCAGGAAAACCAAGGGCTAGAAAGATCCAGCAGTGTTTCCCAACCACAGGCCATTTCCCCAGCAGCAGAGCAACTGGAGCAACAACCTTGCAGGCTAGGGAATGAGACAGCAGCAGCTGCTCCAGAGAAGGCTGGAGCTGCAGCCTCCAGAGCAGATCCAAGGAAAAAGTTCAAATCCATGGCTGCACCAGCAGCTGTAGGGTCACACAGCAAGGATGCAGACACAGCAAGACAGTCCATCTGACACCATCAGGAAGAGCTTTGCCTGCTCAAGGAGGCTCACCAAGAGAGGCAGATGTCCTCTCTGGAAGAGCTGATCCTCCCAAGAACGTCCTTGCAGGTTAGCATCACAAAGTTAGTGTTAAGAGAGTAGTTTTAGGATGATTTCCCAGCAGGCAAGTCTGCCTGTCCCACATAGGTTAGCCTCAGCCTCCCAATGTAGGGCAGGACACACCAGCCAGACCAGGCAGCTGGCACACAGGCTGAAAACCAGCCAGGGAGACCCAAAATGCACACGCTGATCTGCTTGTGTACTGCTGTCACCCATTCTCCAGGCAAAAATTGGATCGAGGCCCCATTTGCTTGTGCTCCTTGAGGAATAGGGCAGTGAAGGTAAAGGATACCATCAAGGGCAGTCCCATCACTACCTCTTAACCCCCTCTTGCCTCTGCAGTGATGAGCTCAAAGGTCTTGCACAAGCATCTGCCTCCTGTGAGGCTACTCAAGGGAAATGCTGCCCCAAGAAATACAGCTGGGGATGGCAGGACTGGAAGGGTTCAAGGCCAGTTTCCTGCAAAAGCCCCTCCCCAGGCCACAGAGCAGGTTTCTGCAACTTGCTGAAGTATTTCCAGTCTGGCAAATCCACTAGCAGCAGTAGGTTTGTGATGCCTTTGCTGCTATGAGACAGCATTTCAACCCTACAGCCACTACATGCAGGCAGCTGAAGCCTGCGGCCACTGCTGCCTCCTGGAGAGGGTCTCTCCAGGCACCAGCTTCAGGGACAGGCAGCACATCAGGCAGGCACTCCAGGGCTAGGCACGTCCTCAGTGCACTGCCCTGCTGGATCCAGAAGAAAAACTCCTTACAAATAATGTTGTGCAAGGGGTTCAGCAGCCCTCTGGGAAGGGGCTGCAGGCAGGATCAGAGTATCCAAACCAGTCCTGTTGTTCTCCAGCCTCCTCCAGCACAGCCCCAGCAGGCACCTGATCCCACTGCACCAGGCTGCACCATGCCACCACCCTGAGCACAAGGTGACACCAGAAGGGTTTGCAGCCAAAGGTCCTTCTCAGGCTGAGAGCTCTGCACTAGCAGGGACAGGAGAGGAAGTCCCAGCTCATCAGTACTCAAGCACAGGCACTGCAGGGGACCACATCAGCAATATTTTTAGCCTGATTGTGAGGGCTTGTTTGTTGGGGTTTTTTTTTGCATTTCCACCCTTCCAGCCACCACCCTGTGGGTCTGTGCAGCTGAGTCACTGCTGGAACCTTCTGAACGCTTGGGTGCCAGTGGCACAACAGCTCTGCTTGGCAGCACTGTTCCTCCCTGGCCCCTAGAGACAGCCCAGCATGATGCAGCCTCATCTGCTCTCAGGACACCCTTGTGGAGACCCCAGCCCTTGGAGCTAGGCCAGCTGCAGCCTCCCAGACCTCAGCACAACCCCCACACAACAGCATCCTCTTCATGTCATCCCTCCTTCCACAACAGCACAGCTAGGCTACCTGGAAGCATCGGCATCTGCTGGCTCCTCCAGGATGTAAAGCTTTCAGACAGAGAAGGACTCCTCTGCCATCTGGAGTGTCTTTCACAGTCTTTTCAGAACATGCTCCTGAACTACAAGATCTCCCTCCCCTCCCAAGGAGTTCCACATTGCCACTCCAGGGCCCTCATGAAGGAGATAAAGATGAGGCTCTGGAGATGTGGGAGGTGTGGGCAGATTGAAACACTACAACAGCTGTGCACAGATACCAACTGTCCACTTCTCCAGTCAGCACACACCATCCCCACAGCTCTCAGAGCAGGAGAGGAACAGCAGCCCAGGCTGAGGAGCACTCCCAGCCCAGGTGTTGCTCACTTGGGAAATGAAGGTGGGATTGAGAGGGAGAATGTGATCTCAAGACCACAACACCCTCCAGCTACACAGGCCTATCCCCAGAAGCTCCTCTCTGGAAGCAGCACAACATTTGGGCATGTTTGACATCCCAGTCATGCCCCCTTGTGTACCTAAGGGAACAGCAGGAGTGAGAAGTGAGGACCCAGGCCTATCCAGACAGTACTAGGTACCACCAGCTGTCACCATAAATTCTAACAATCAGCCATCAGGTGCAGATCACCAGGCCCAGGGCAGTGCCCAGGGTTGAATCCTTCTCAGCACTCTTCCCAGGCCTCTGCAGCAGACAGGAGCTGTGGCAGGATGCACTGCAGGCAGCAGGGGCACCTGACACCAGATCCAGCCTCTGTGAGCAGAGAGGTCACCAGAGCACTTTCACAGTATTGCCAAATCAATCTCCCTCCTGAAACACAAACCCCTCCACCCCTGACAGTGAGCTGCCCCCACCACGATCCCTGCAGCCTAGCCTGCAAGGTACAAAGGCTGCCCACGGCCCCAGCCCTGCCCCAGCACCCCAGAGAGTCTGGCAGGAAGGTGGCCAGGAGAGCCCTGGAGAGATCAGATCAGCTGAGGCTGGGGCATCCACACAGAGCAGCCACCTGGTGTGACAGCCCTGGTTCTGCAGCACCACTGTGCATCCAGGGCTGTGGTTGCTGGCAGCAGCACCCTCAGCCTGGATGCTGCCTGCTGTAGGTGTGCTCTTCACATTAATGATCCTGCAAGGCAGGGTCAGTGCCCCACAGTCTGCTAACAACCATACAGGGCCCTACACACAGCTCTAAGGCCCCTGCATGCTAGTAACTTTGGTTTCTCCCTCCTCCTTTAATGTTTCAGCTGGCACCAGAAGAAGGACAGACCTGTGTCTATTCCTTGACTCATTAGGGAAAGCCCACAGGAACCATGTGCTGGAGCAGAGCAAGGCTTCATAAAGGTACTGCAGCCTGACTGCAAGCAGACCCCAGGTGCCTGTGCCAGGGCCCACCCACAAGCCTGCACGCTGCTAAGTCTTGCACAAATGAGATGCAGAAGCTCAAGTGAGCTGTACTAAGTTGTTTCAAACTCCACTACCCCACAAGTGATTGATTTTTTTTGACACAATCCATGCAGCAGCATCCAGGGCTGTGTCCCAGAAGCTCTGTCCAAAGGGCAGCATCCCCTGGATAGAAGAGGTGGTTGACGGCATCTCCTTGCACCCCCAAACATCTATGTGGGCAAATCACACTGACCAGGCCACCCCAGAAGATATCTACATTCCCATCAGCACCAACTTCACGCCTGGGGCCTCCTGTGTCATCCCAACCTGCACAGAGATGCACTACCCTTTTAACAGAGCAGCAGCACGCTGCTATAAAGGGATGAGTTTCTGTAGCAACCAGGCTGAACTTGCACAAACTCTGCCAAAGCACTAGATCTTTCCATGGACTGATACTTGAACGAACACCACCGTTTGTGAAACTATTTTTTTACAGCCCACAAAGGCCAGGAAAACAAACTCTTCCCTGTTTTACCTCCTTGCCCAGTCACCAAGTTGAGGAGATGCATTAAGTTTGTGCACACACCAGCCCTTTCTCCTTATGCTTTTACAGAGAAGGCTGGTGCCTCTGGAAGAGTTAACTGAGCCCCACATCACTCTGGGGGAAGCACCCAGCACCCCAAGAACTCCCCATTCAATCCCAGCTGCAAAACCAGCCTGGAGAGGATTGAGGGGGAAGGGCAAGGCCAGCGAGCAGCACGTGGCTGCAAGCCCATACCCTGCCAATCACATAGGTTGGTGCTGGACCAAAAGAGTTAAACACAAGAAGCCATTCCACTGCATCTCCAGCCCACTGCCAGGAGCACTCGCTATTTCTAGTTGAACGTGGGAGTGGAGCAGGATCCCTCTGAGTCTCCCAGCCAGCAAGCTGCTGCCTCAAGTTGTTAGTTGGGTGCTGGCTGCGCCTACCACACCCTGCAGGCAGAGCTGGGCAGGAAGGCTGCTGGAGCACAGGGGTGCTGCCTGCACTTTTGTAGTTAGGTAGGGGGTCCCCTGGGCAGGCAGGCATACCCCTCCCTGCCTGCAGAGGTACCTGCCACCGGGGATTTCTCCCACTGCTGGAGTGAAGTTCAGCCTCCTGACACCACACCCCCCACCCACTCCCTCCCAACACCGGGAGAGGATTTCTCCCCTCAGCGAGGTTGTTTCTCCACCAACATTACAGGAGCGAGCAAAACAAGCCTGGGCACTTCTTGTCTGCAGTGAACTGGCAGCAGAGCAGAGGGGGCTGTGGCACAAGGTGGGAGTGGAGCAGGATCCCTCTGAGTCTCCCAGCCAGCAAGCTGCTGCCTCAAGTTGTTAGTTGGGTGCTGGCTGCGCCTACCACACCCTGCAGGCAGAGCTGGGCAGGAAGGCTGCTGGAGCACAGGGGTGCTGCCTGCACTTTTGTAGTTAGGTAGGGGGTCCCCTGGGCAGGCAGGCATACCCCTCCCTGCCTGCAGAGGTACCTGCCACCGGGGATTTCTCCCACTGCTGGAGTGAAGTTCAGCCTCCTGACACCACACCCCCCACCCACTCCCTCCCAACACCGGGAGAGGATTTCTCCCCTCAGCGAGGTTGTTTCTCCACCAACATTACAGGAGCGAGCAAAACAAGCCTGGGCACTTCTTGTCTGCAGTGAACTGGCAGCAGAGCAGAGGGGGCTGTGGCACAAGCAGTCACAGCCTCCCCAACTCACCCACCACATTATACAAGCATTAGAGGTCGAGAAGCCCCTGTCAGCCACTGCCAGCCCCGTTACACAAGCAGCAGCTCCACTAACGCTTTAAAATGGCCACAAAATAAAAGGAACCCAACAACTGTTGCTGCATGTCAGCAGACTCACCGGACTGTGGGCTGGTTTGTGCTGCAGCGTCAGAGTCCTGGGTGCTCCAGGGTCTGTCCCACCCTGTCAGGTTGAGGGACTGCAGGCCAAGGCACAGATCGTTGGTGTCTGGGAGGCCACGGGAAGACTCTTGCATGGACGTGGGGAAAAGCATCCTGCTTGCCACTGCTTCTTCAGAGTCCTGGAAGTCTGCTCAGATTGAGAATAAACAGAAGCTTGAGAGTTCAGGGCTGCTTTTTTTCTTTTTAAAGAAGGAGTTTTCCAAAGCATTAAGCCCCGAGCCAGGTCTCGTGCTGCTCCGAAGCCACAGCTTCTGCAACTAGCAGTTGCACCCCAAAAGGGAGGGCTACCATATGTCCAGAAACCAGCCCCCCACCCCCCAGCCCCTCCACCTTCCTATCCCGTCTGCATTACTGACTGGATCAGCATGTGACCAGGCTGATGATGCTTACTGTGCTGACAGTGACGTCACTCAGCCATGCAAGAGAACTGCATCAGCTCTTACAAAATAAAGGTAAGAAAGGGTAAGATTTCCCCCAAAAGACAAGACAGCAGGCAGGAAGAGAGGTGCAGCTCCAGGAAATCGAGGGAAGCAGGCAGCACAAAAGCAGGGCACCAGCAGACGACAGGCTCGAGGCAGCAATCCCCCCAGCAGCGAGGACAGCAGCAGCAGCCACAGAGCAGACAGTTAGTTTTAGTGCTACCCAGCTCTCCTATCCCCGCCTCCCTCCACCCACAAAACCCAAAAACACTTTAGTCCTGGACAGGCTCCAGCTGCTGGCTCAAATTTAGAGCCCGATGCAAAGCTTCGCAATTCTGCTAGCATAATCTATTTGGTTCAACTTGGCCACTGTGCCTCCCTGACTCGGCATTGTTTACCACTGAGTAACAAGGATAACCTTCAACCCCCGCTCCCGCTACCCAGAGAGACACCCCTGATCCTGGGTCCAGCTCATGTGGGCACACGGCCCTGGTACAGGGAGATGGGGACTGGCCAGAGTGCAGGACTCATTTCACATCAGGAATTTTTCATGGCCTGTTTACCTTCCGCCCGCCTGGTCCTCCCCCCTTTTCCCAACCCTCCCCTCCCCTGCGGGGTGTTCACAGCCTACGGTGCTGGAGACGCCAGATTCTTGCCTCGGTTTAAGCCTGTGCCAACAGCCTAAGGAAATGCAGCAGGTTCATAGTCTGAGAATTCCAGTTTAATGCAGGGATCTGGGGGTTGATGAAACCACAAGATGCTCGGCTGTGTTACCCGAAATCTGAGTCAGAGGGCATTTATAAGCCAGCTACCAAGCAGCAGCAGCTGTCTCCTCCTCCTCCCCCTGCCCCCACACCCTCCCACTGTGCCATCAGATGTACACCTCGCACACACCACTGCCGCTCTTCAGCAGGGCGCCGCAGTCACTCCAGCCTGTCACGTTATCCCTCACGTGCAGCTCCGGCCACCCCAGGCACCTGACAGCATGCCTGGCCTCCTTTTCCACACCCACGGCCACATCCCGTGCCACTCAGTTGCCTGCGACCCAGCAAAGCTCAGGCAAGGCCCCTCTGTCAGCTGGGTGCTGGGTACCTACCACACACGAGCTGCAGGCCATCGCCACCACCAGCGGTGACACCTCCCCCGCGTGGCACTCTGGGGGGCACCAACATTCCCAGCTCATGGCAAGGGGGCTGTGGCACCACTGTCCTGGTGACACCTGCTGGCAAGGTGCCACCTTCCTTCTACCCAGCTGCAGCCTCCTCCACAGCACTGCACCCAGGGAGCACCCACCAGGGTTCTTCTCTGCTCCTGTAGTAGCACCAGTACAAGCTGCAGCACCAATTCAGCCACATTGCTACCAAGCACTTGGAACAGCAGCAAACGCTTCTCTGAAAGCATCACACTGCATCTTCAGCCAGGTTATTTCACTGCATTAGTTCTCCCAGTATAGTTTTCAGATGGCTTGTTTTGGACAGGCCCTAAAGACATTCCTAAGGCAGCTGCAGGGAGGAGAGCATAAAGGCACATTGCTCAGACAACTCAGTTCCCACAGCAACCATAACTTGCCCATATGAATATGGAACATTTCAGCATTTATGAAAATGCACAAATGCTCTGTTCTAGCCTGGATCCCTGGCAGTAGGAAACTACCTACCCTTTGGGGACCATGATCTTGCTAGGTTTTATGCCATCTTCAACATTAATTCCCACCAATTCCCATCCCAGGAAAAGTCTTCTAGGAAGCACCAACACAAACAGAATACCAACAGACAGCAGAACTTTAATCCCACCCAGATCCAACACCTTGGGTGAAACCCACCACTGAAGAAAAACAGAAAAGGGAGAACAAGTTAATCAGTGATGAGAAGCACTCACTCCTCAGTATCCAGCCACACTGTTCCCTGGCTATCTACATTTTTCAGGAAATAAGCTGTTTTGTTTAATTGAACCCAAACAGATTCAAGTTCAAGGTATGTTTCCCTCAGATGGCTTCAATCTACATTAAAGACCAGCTCCCTGCAATTCAGTTAAGGGTGTAGCTGCTGAAGCACACCATAGAATTTGCTTAGATAACCAGCATTTTTTAATTAGACCTTTTCCCATCCAAAGCAAATAGGCAGCACAGGCCTGTTTCCCCTCTAACACTCCCAATCATGCTGAAAGATGGATATGGGTCATCAAGGAAAAACACCAACTTAAAAAATAGAATTTCTGGAATAGTTATTTTCAAATTCAGAGCCTGGAAATTTGTTACAAAGCAATCAGCTGCTGATGGCAGGCAAAACTAATAGGATGCTGCAGCAGGAAGAATTAATTTTCTACAAAATTTCAGTCTAAAGAGTCATAACCTCAAGTTATTCATAAGTAAATGTCTACCAAATATTAAATAATTTCCTTTTGCAACCTGACACAGCCCAAATACCTCACTGCAGACTTTTCCAAGCTCCAAAAATGAGCATGAGTCTTTCCAACCTGGATTCTTCCCTGGAGTTGCCACTGGAAGCCAACCATTCTGGCAGAGGGAGCTGTGCTGCAATGGGCTCATACCCAAGTGTCTGGGAGAGACCAAGCTCCGGTCTCCTGAGCTGGTTGGATTTGATTTCAACTGCATCATGAGAAGCAAGTCCTCAGTAAAATGCTCCTGGTGTGGGTGTTTGAGCAGACGTCTCTCCTGGAATGACATCCTCCTATCTGTCCAGGAGATCCCTGGAGCCAGGGTGCAGCAAAGCACAGGCTGGACAGCTTTCCACACTACCACCCAGGTGGAAAACTGCATTTAAGACATTTCAAAGGCTTCTTCACACAGTTCAGCTCTAACCCTGCAGTTAAGCTCTACCAGCCCAGACAGCTTTACACAAGCTACAGCCCCAGCCACTTGTCCCCACCCCAGTGCTCTCCCCACTCACGCCAGTTTAGGCAGATGAGTTTCCACACAGGAAGCTGGGCTGGGGAGCCACTAGGAGTTAAGTTTTAGCCTAGCTCATTCCCCTGATATCTGGTTTGTGGTGTAGCTGCACCAACCAGGCATTTGAAGCAGGAAAATATTTAGGACATTACAGCCTAAGTGGAGAGGTCAAACAAGGACTGACACCAGGAGCTGTGACCCACAGGCAGTTTGTGGCAGCTGGGTTAAGGCAGCATGGGGACAGGCCCTTTCCTCAGCCCCTGTCCTGTGGCAGCAGCATCCCATGGTGCCAGACTTAGACTGGAAATGTAATGCTTCATTCCAGCAGAAGCACATTCATATGTTCAAATCTTCCATCCCCAGGCAGCTTGCAAAGCCAAGTAAAAATCCAGCAAATGGGTTTCAGCTTGAAAACTGAGAAAACCCGGAGAAGGAAGGCAACACAATGGTTAAGCAAACATGAACCAAACAATCTAGGTCCCACTCCTACCACCTCTGTGGCCATGGAGGTCTCCCTCTGCTCCCACATGCTGATGTCAAGCAGAACCTGAGCATGGAGGAAACCTCTCCACAAACAAGGCCCCCAAGGGTACAAGCAGGATAAGAACAACTCAGCTGTAAGGTCTGCTCACTGACAGAGCCAGATTCACTTCTGTGCACAGCAACCTTGCTCTGCCCAAGGCTGAACTTCCAAATCCAGAAGAGGCAAGGCCAGCACTTCTGCAGCCTTCAGATCACAAGTGGAAAGGCAGCTCCCCACAGAAGCTGTTTTACCTTCCACACCTCTCTACACCACCACTTGTAAAGGCTAGGAATTGCATCCCTGCAAATTAAGCTTCTCAAGTATGTTTTGCACACATGACAAACAAATCTCTAGTGAAAGCTTTTAGAGGATGAGCCAATTGTATCACTAAGGTATACTGGGATCATCAGGAGCTTAGGAAAGCTCTTGTTAGGAATAAACCTACTAGTTACAAAAGGTTTTCCTGCTACACAACTAAACATCTTCCCTGTAATCTGAAAAATTCCTCAAGTGGAGAGACATTTGCTGCTGCATGCCCTGTTTCACAGCCAGATGGAGTCTGCCTTATTCCCCTAACCACAAACACTTGAACAACTACCTAAAAAACTAAGAGGGCACTTCAACTAGCCTTGCTGCTCTGTTTCTCCAAAGAACAAGAGATTGCCCCAAGATTACTGCACCAGAGCATGCTGTGTCAGGCAGGAAACAGGCTGGATCTTCAGCAACACTATCCAGCTTGTGACCACTGCAGAGACCAACAAGCTCTAGGCCAAGATCCTCTGCAGAACACTCACGGTGATCTGCTGCCATTTGCAGATCTAATGAAGAAACCCATTTACTAGGGCCCTTTTCCAGCACAGAAAAGCATTGGGCCCATGTAGGCAAAGACCTATTAATGTGTCACTTGAAACACAAAAGCCAAAACCAAAGGCAGTAGGTGTGCCTCTCCCAGGGCACAGGCATTGAATTGCACTGTTCTGGTCATGGGTACCAGGTGGATATTTATTTGGGGCAAGCAGAATGGTTCTTAGCTGCCAGCTCCAGGTGAGCTGCTGCTCAACACACTCCAGGCACCTACACTACATTTTGTGGCTCTGCATCTTATAACATTTTGTCCCTCATCCAAGACCCCACACATCAGGTCAGCTGCATCCCGTGCTGTCTGCCATGGCTGCAGGACAGTCAAAAGCAGAGGAATTTACATTATACCACCAGAGATGACTTTTGGGTGGCTAAACAAGTGATGGGTCATTAATTGACTGCAATTGAGAACAAACAGGAAGCCAATTTAGTCATCAGCAAGTCTGGGTTTGCATTTGTCCTTCAGTTTTCCTTAAACGAAGCAGCCACTGAGAATCATCAGGACCTGATGGGCCACAACTAACAGCCTTTACACTGAACTTGGCACCTGAAGCCACTCCCATCCACAGGAAGTCATTTCAGCATCTCCCATTTCTTCTCACAATGAACTGTCAACTTCCAACAAAATAATGGCTGCTTTGTCTCCGTTAAATGAGCAGAGCTTAATGAAAGGGAAATCAATGCCTCTGGGACACTGGGGTACCCACCTGCAATCCTTTTAAATCCGTTTGTTTTAAGCCAGCATTGCCTTCAGTTGAAGCCAGTCCACCGAGTAAAGGTGCATGCCAAGGGAGAAGATAGAGCTTTACTCCCTGTTCTTCTGTACTAAGCTCAAAGTTGTGCCTACAGAACAGGATGATTTCTCAATCTGGATTAGGTTGTTTTAAACAAATCTGGTAGCAGCACTTTCCACCCAGCAAGGCCCAGCTTTAAAGCCTGGCAAACAAACCACCTGCTGCCTTAAACTGCCTCCACTCACATTCTCGTTCAGGCCAGTTATGAACATGCAGATCAGCTTTAAATTTTGTGAGAACCACAAACCCTGTGAAGCAGTTCCTCAAGGACAGATAAGCTATGTGTGTTCCAGCAGTGCTGGAAGCAGCTGAGATATTCACTCCTGCCTCCATCAAGGCCACATTCTCTCCCCTATCTCGACCACAACAGTAAATGCCACTAAAGGTTGATGTCTGCTCTATACAACCTTGCTGAAGTTCTGCCTTTCTTTAGAGAAGACTGAGTCAGCCTGAACAGCAGGTGGTTGGAGCACCACACAATCCTGTCCCAAAAGCTACCAGACAGGTTCTACAATTGCAGCTCTCACCACAGCACTGCACTGTACTCTTTGGTTTGGGCTGAGCTGAGCCCAAGCTGGAGGGACTCCTGGAACAAGTCCCAGGAACCACCAGTGTGGCCAGGCCAGGCCTGACGACTCAGAGCCTTGTGACAAGGCTAAGTTCACCAAGGATTATCATTAACTGCAAACTGATCTCTACAGAGATTTAACATTAGGTATGGCAAACTAAATCTCCAGCAGCAGTCCCGCCTGCCATGCAGCTCTGCTGGGATCTGGATAACTCTCCAACTGTGTCAGCCCCAAGACTGCTGAACAAGCTGGTTCCCTCACATTGCTCAGACAGCTGCTGTGCTGATCTCTTCTCAGCACTCCCTTGCTGAGCAGCTCCTCACACACAGAAAGGTGTCTCCACACGTGTCTCTCCAATAGCATTAGTGAAAGGTCATGAACTTCTGCCATCCCTTTACCACGTGTAATCCTCTTAATGCTGCAAAGGGGCTTCTTACACACAAGTCCAATCCAGGATAAATTTAGTTTGACCTGAGGAAGACAACTGAAAAGCTTGAGGGACCATGAATAGATTAAAGTACAAGTATTGCCCCTGCGGGAAGAAAATCTCTTCACAAGGCTCTCCCACCAGAAGTTTAAATTGTAAAGACAGTCCTTTCACTTCCTACAGCTACTACATGCAGGGTGAACCTCCAGGCTCATTAAGACTGCCCAAGCTATGAGTTTGGTGATCATGCTCAAATTATTCCTTCTCCAAGTAAAAGCTCCTTGAGGGTCATTAATTCTTCAGAAGCAAGTATATTGTAGCAATGAGAAGACACCATATGAGATTAAGGTGGTCTCTACTCTGTTGGTCACCTATCCAGAAGCCAGGCTCACTGGAGGCAAGACTGATCCTACAGAGCACTGTCTTCTTCCTTCACTCAAAGGCACAGCAAACAGCTCCACCAGCCTGCTTCAGGCTTTAGGCCACTAGCCCAGCAGGCAGTTAGCAGCATTATATTCTGAATTTTAGCAATCAGCTGCTCAGCCTTACAGCTCAAGGTCTGAATTTCTACAAGAGACTACCACAACCTAGGCCAGGTCAAAGGGCTGAAGCACCTCCCCATTTGTGGGTTGTAGCTATTCTGGGATTCACCACCTCACAGTGCAAGCTTTTTTATGGAGAAGATGCTCATTAGCAACACGTTAAACAACAGGAGCAGCTCATGCCCATTTCTGATCCAAGGAAGGAAGCATGCAAAACTGCTGCTCTCAGGCCCTCATTACATGCCAACAGGTCCTGACTGACACTAACAAAGCAAGGTTGGGACCACAAAGCAGACTAAAAAGTCTCAAGTGCCAAGGCACTGGCAGATGCTGACTCATCCACATCTTTATGGCTGATAACTGCTGCCCTGGCCAGAGAAGCTCAGGCTGTTCTCTGTATCAGTCTCCTGCACAGCCCAGAGGCACCTTCTGAAAGAGATCCCAGATTTCCACTAGCCTAAACAGAGAGGGCACCCAAGGCAGCCACTTTCTAGTCCCACCTCAGTGCCCAGCATCCTCTGAAAGTGAGCAAGCCTCTTTCCATCCCAAGTGTTTGTGCCACTGCACAAGGGGTTGGATAGAAGCTAAAAGCCTCCTGCAGGTTACCCGGTGCTGAGAAGAGCCCCCACACTTGACAAGTGCCTGTGCCAGCAGCCAGTTGAGACTGGCCTCAACTGCTACATCAGGAACAAGAAAAGCTGCTTAGAATGTCCCAAAAGCTGCAACATTGGTTGCCCTGCAGCAAAGAGTGTTTGCTAGAGGAAGCCTCCCTTTTTACACGCAAGTCCCACCCTTCCATAGAAGATACTTGGTAACAGACTGAAACACAGGAAGTTTAACATCCCTGAAGGGAAATTCACTCAATCTCCCATCAAGGCACCACCTCTCAGCCGCTCCATGCCAGACTCTCTGCTCTGGGCAGAAGAAATACCCTAGTAACTGACCAACTAAGCAGAGATGTGCAGGCAGGTCAGCAAGAATGCTCATTTCATTGTCAGGTGAATACCCCAGTCCCTCAGAGAAGAGCTTTAGAAGTCCAGAAGACAGTACTGCAAACTAAAATTGATGCACCAGCACTAAGCTCAGACCTAAAACCAGAACTAACCCACAACTTTACAGGATGAACCTGCTCTAGTAGGCAGTGACAGTTCTTCCATCAACTGGGTTAACTTTAGCAAGTAAGCCTAAATTCAGGAAACATTCCCATTTTAATTTATAAACTGAATACGAAGGGCTAAAGCTAAGATTTCAACACAGCAGCTAGAAACAACTCTTTTCATTAACTCAGTTGTAAGGACAACAAGGAAAATACTTGTCTCCCTTATGCTTTGAGGACACCAAGATCAGATACAACACTACCACGATGCCAAGGGACAAAAAGTGTCTAAGCAGCTCAGTACAACAGCAAAACTCTCAAAATGCACCACTAACCACATCACTGACCTGAATTAGTTAATATTCACTACGCAACTGCTCAGGAGTAGCCAGCATATCCTCCAATACTGCTTTACTAGGCACGTTTCAAGCAATGCTGGCCATAGATCCGCACTGCCAAGCGAACAATTCCCTTCCTCTGGCATTTCTGCAGCGCCAGCACAGGATCACATGGCCAGATCAGCCCCTGGTCCACGGTGCTAAGCCCTTCAAATACCCAAGAGATTAAGCTGCACTGGAAGTCATCTGGTAGCAGTCATTTAGCCAGTCCATAACAAAGTTGTACTGCACAAGCTTCAAACAGACCCACAGGATGCCCAGACACCTGTTTGCAGCTTTTTTTTTTACATCCATTTGATTAAAACTCATCAGCTTATCCATGAGCACAAGGCAATTCTGTCTCCAAGTGACTGCAAAGAAAGCTGCCTACTGCAGCCTGCATGGTCACCAGCTGGTGAGATTCTTCTCTTTACTTTCCCCTTTTTGTTTTGGAAAAAGTCCAGAGTGTGGGTTTATTTCCAATAATGGTCAAAGTGTTTATTGAACCTTTAATTTGGAGGCTGGAGGAGCAACAGCAATTTCTTTCAAGTGCACAAATCCTTGGCACACATGCTGCTGCACAGAAGTTTGCTGGCAAGAGCAACATCAGGCACTGGGCAGGTACATTTACTGGCAGATCATGCATACTGTAGAGGGACAAAAGCACGTCCTTCACTTATCATAAAAATAAGGCTGGACCCAACACTCTTTGCTTTGGCACTGAGCCTTCTGTTTTGAGGTGGATCAAGTGCAAGACAGAAGAATACGCCCAGTTCCCTCAGCCTGAAGGAAGCAAAACTTGCAGCACTGATTTGATAATCCCAAGTTTGCTTTGCAAGACACTCTTCACCTACATGAACTGCTTTGGTGTGCTCTCAAACACTTGATTCACTGACCTGTAGCAAGCATTTATTCAAAACTCTCTCACATTTTAAATGTATGCAGCAGATCAGCCATATGAACCACTAACAGGTTAATCCTGCCTCCAGGAGAAGCAGACTGTCAAGGACTCTGCTGGAACTATCTATACCAGAAATTGGCAGGTCAGGCAATGAGAGCTTATATACTGCCCACATGATGATCCAGGACATCCCAGGGAACATAAGCCACACCTCCCAGGGATCTCCACACTGCCAGGGAACACTGGGTTTATCCATTTCAGGCACACAAATGAAGCCCCCCAGTAACAAGACAGCATTAACCCTGACTCCAAGCAGCTCTCTGCTCACCAGCACATGCTAGGTCCCTCCAGGCAACTCCCCCATTCCCCAGCCCAGCCCCTCAAGTTGGCCTCAAACCCAGCCAAAGGCATCACCTGGGAGGATGTCACGTTTGCTTTTTGTGACAGGTGTGGTGCAGACTCCACTGAAATCCAAAGAGTTGTCCAACATGGCATTTATTCGGCGGAATATATCTGCATTGCTGCAGGTGGAAAGTGCAGGGGCATCTGGGCTATCCCAGCAGTCCTTTATGCTCCTCCCAGTATCTTCTTTCTGCTAAAAAAGAACAAGCATTATCATCAAGCAGGCTAGTACTCACCACCCAGTTTTCAACACAGTGTAGAAACTCTGGATTGCCTCCAACCTCATTACCTTTAACTGCAGGTCTTAGCAACACTCAATAACAATTCTTAGCATTAAAGAAACAGTTAAGGAAACAGATCAGCAATTTGTCAGCACAGCACATCAGACCAGGACCATCCCAGTCACAGGTACCAGCTCACCATGGCTGGGATGAGCTTTAGACTAGGGGCCACAGCACCCAGACTAGTGTGGTGATTAACAGGACTTCTCTCCAGCACACCATGTCACTGAAGCAGAAAGCTGGTTGACAGGGGCATGTGCCTTCTCCCCAGAATCAGCCTCCTGACACTAGGGGACCAGGTGGACTCATGACCAAGGCAGCCACCATGAGAAACCACAGCAGCTCCTCCTGCATGTAGTAGAAGGAGCAAGGCTCACTTCACCACCCACATTTGGGAGCTCTGAACAACATCGTGGAACAGCTGAAGTTGGCAGCCACACAACTGCTTCAGCAAACAGGCTTGCAGAGAAAAACATGACTGCCCAGCTAATGAAACATTGCCCCAGATCCTGAGGTGACACTGGAGGCCAAATCCTTGACAAGGCAGGGAACCAAATCCTGTCCTTCCATATAGGTAGCAGCTCCTGACCACAAAGGTTACCCCAAACCAGCTCTGCTTTAGCATGACCCCCCACAGGCACCAGTCCACCAGCATCAAGATTTTGGGACCATCCCACACAAGCCACTTCTTGTGAAGCTGCTTCTGCAAAAAAAAAAAAAAAGCAAACCCCTCCTGCCTCCTGGTGCTGGTCCAGAGAACCAGTAAGGGCAGCAGCTTCCTCCAGCTCTTGCTTACAAGCCATTTTTTCTCCTCGGCTTGTTATGGTGCAGCTGCACAACATTCAAATCTCTGCCGATCTAGAAGTTGCTAAACTTAATCTCTAACCAGTATTTCTGGACCCAGGGCAAGTTTTCCTGCCACCCAAAAGCCACTACAGCAGAACTCTGATCCTGAACATGCTGAGCAAATGGTACCGCTATCAATTAAGACACATTGAGAAGAGAAGGAAGAGAAGAGCAGGAAGGCACAACCTCACCAGTCTTGGCCTCCAGAGCAGAATTCTTGCCATTAAGCAAATCGAGTTAAGAGCCAAACTCAAAGAATGGAATTGCAGCAAGGAAGCAACTAAGCTTCTGCTACTCCAAGACACACAGAAGCCTCTAGCTCTAAATGGGGCCATTGTCCTTGTCCAGGAGACATTTAATACATCTCCCTTTTGGATGCGTTCCTACAAGATTTTTGGCCTGACTTCTTCCACATTTCTCCCCCTTACTTCACCCACTGGCAAGTCCCAAGTGCCGAGCTGGCTTTATTTTCAAGTGACCCCGCCCTGATCTTTCCAACACGCGGCCTGTGGCAGCCGAAGGTCTAAACCGAGGTTGACAGGGACAGGAGCTTTGGCTCAGCCCAAGTACGGGACTTGCATTTCCGCCCCTCTCAACCCTGCTGATAAGAGCAGTTTTGTTGCCATGAGCCGATAGTTATCTCCACGCACTCACCCCCATTTAGCTAAAAAGCAAAGAAAAGCCCTGTCCTGGAAGCAGCAG